ATTATTATTATTATTATTATTATTATTATTATTATTATTATTATTTATTATTATATCTATATATTATTATTATTATTATTATTATTATTATTATTATTATTATTATTATTATTATTATTATTATTATTATTATTATTATTATTATTATTATTATTATTATTATTATTATTATTATTATTATTATTACCATTATTTAATTATGCGAAAATGTTGATTTGATAAAGCAGAAAAAAATGATTGCCTAGTAAATTATATAAATTTCAAATTCAATTACAATTTTTTCTCTTTTTTTTTGAATAATAATAATCAAATATAAATTAAACAGTTCATGATTGTTTGTGTTTTAAAAAGTTAACGCAAAGAGAGCGCAATTTGCCTAATAAGAAATTGACATTTGAAAGAAATCATATATTTGAATTTTAGTAATGATAGAAATATTGTACCACAAGACACAAGACACAAGACATTATTGTACAAATTTATATTGAAATACTACTGCAACTGAATAGTCAAATACTACTGTAATTGAAATACTTGATAAGTTTATATTAAACAGATAAGGCTGAATATTGATAACTCCCAAATCATCTTTATAATTTTATCATTTTCTAAACTATTCGAGAAATGATAAAATCTTGGTGATGATTTGTATTTTATTCCACTTCATTTATTTAACAGCACTTGCGTATTCAAATTTGATGAAATTAATTTGATTTAAAATTTTAGTTAATTGATCTGATTAAAGTTTGATGTGATTAATTTAGGTTAATTGATTTTAGTTTAGTTTAAAAATTATTAATTTTACAATAATTTGGTAGTCAAAAATTTGAATTGAAAATAAATTAAATAGGAAATAATACGATATTTTGTTAAATATATTAATTAATTGCAGGCATAGCATCAGCATGTGAGCTTGGTTATGAATCGTATATGTTTTTAATTGTTGATAAGAAATATTACAAATTGGTTTCATCATATACACGTGCTGCTGCATTAATTGGTCGATTTTTAGCCTATGCTTTGGCTCAATTTCTTATTTCATTTAATTATGGAACTTATTTACTTTTAAATCAAGTAATATTAAAATTTTTTAATTGCCAAAAAATTTTAATTATTAAAAATTTGATAGTATTTTTGATAATAAAATGAAGGAATATATCAGTCATCAGTAGACATTGTTGCAAATGATAATAGTAATAAATATTGATAATTGATAAATGATACTTCAATGATATCTTTAATGTTCTAAAAAAAGAATAATAATAATAAATGCCAATTTTTATTTTAATTTTTATAAATTAACTTCAAAAAAAAAGAATTATAGAAAACTTTGTTGGTGCTAAACATTGAAAAAAAAAAATAATACAGAACTGTTGAATAGAAAATGTCAATTTTTTAATATTTTTTATTTTTGTTTTTCATAAACAATGAAAAAGTGAAATTTCTTTTGAATAAAATTTCGCATTTTTTTTTGTTTGGTATTTTACATCAAATAACATCTAATGGTATAAAATATTTATCAAAAAATGCTTTTTTTTTAATAGTTTCTTACCAAGTTAATTTAATTAAAATCAAAATTCGCTTTTCAATCGTTTTTTCCATAAATGAATTTTTTTTTTCCATGAATGAAAAATAAATGAAATTTAATGGAAGAAATCAAAAAGGTCAGATAATTTTTCGGAGTGTAAATTTTGATCATTTGTAATTGAAAATATCAGGAAAAAAAAATTAGCTTTTTATTTTTCAAGTATTAAAAATTTGAATTATTTAATTCCTTTATCATTAACATTGTTTCAAGTAATTACTAATTACAACAGATTTCATTTGGTGCAGTTTGTGTAATTTTACCAATTGCTATCGCTTTTCCATCTATAACATTAGAAATTATTAATAGCAAAGGTTATGGTAAACAAACGAATGATATACGACAAAAAGAAATTTCGGAAATTTCATCTGATAAAACAATAATAACTGAAGATTCTGATAATGTAAGAAAGGGAAATATCAAAGAAAGGTTTTCAATTTTCTTTTTTTTTTTTTACTAACAAATGCTTTATTGAAGTAATAATTTGTTAGAAATGAAAAATCAAAAAATAAAAATAAAATTAGTCAGTCAATGAAAAAGGAAAAATGTTAAAAAAAAATAAATAAATGACAATGTAAGCAATTATTAATTATTAAAAAATTATCGTTTAAAAATTAAATTAAATTATCAATTATTATCGAATAAATTGTCAATTAAATCATCCGTAATCAATTATTGCTAATAAGTTACGTAAATTCATCAAACATGCCAAAATGATATGCAAATTTGGCTTAAAAAAAAGTGTAAATTGTAAAATTTGAAAATTTTTGTAAATTTAATCCTTCTTAAAAAAATTTTTTTTGTAATAATTAGAAATGAAAAATTCTAGAAATGAACATTTGGATATGAATAAGTAATTTAGTATGGATTGAAAAAAAAATTTGTCAATTATAGTATGGCAGCATATTTCTGTTACATTTTACAACAACTTAAAATATTCAAACAGAATAAAAATGTTTTGAAATGGAGTATATGGTGGGCACTTACAAGTTGTGGATTTTATCAGGTTAAAAAAAGTTAATTTCATTTTTTTTCTTTTCGAATTAAATTTTAATATGTCCTTTCTTTAAATAAATAAATTAAAATTAAATTAAATTAAATCAAATTGAATTAGCACAAATGTTTTGAAGCAAATATTAGTAAAAAATTCATTTATTTATTTGTTTATTTATTTTTTCTTTTTAAATGGCAAATTTTGTAAGCATTGTAAGGTTCAAAAAAAATATAATTAAAAATAGAAATACGATTTCAATTTCTGATTCAATTTATTTTACAATTTTCAGATTACAAATTATGTGCAATCACTATGGGCTACAATGCAAAATATTTCCGATAATTTTAATGGAATTACCGAATGCATTAATACTCTTATTGGTATTTAAAATTACCGTAATACGAGAAGAAAAAGACGAAGAAGATAATGAGAATGACTGTTTGCAATTATCTATGAATAAAAATTAATTAAACTTTAATTAATTATAAGGTAAGAAAATTTTTAAGATAATATTAAATGAAATGAATATAAAATAATTTCAGGTGCAATTATATCATTTTCATTGCAATACATTAATAAAGATTGGACAGTACACGATGAATTGATAATTTCAATTACAACAGCTATAATTACTTTATTATTAATTATTATGTCACAAATTAAATTAATTATCATTGCATATATCAATTATGTTATCATTACAGCCATTTACAATCTTCTCATGACTGCTGCATGGTAAATTTTATTGATATTTCATTAATTTATTAGCAAAAATAATTAAGAAGCTAAAATGTTAACCGAATAATTATTGCATGTATGCATGCATGCATGCAAATATGCACATGCTACATAATATTTTTAGGCTTATTTTTCTTACTTAGGATTATTTATTTTTAATTAGGCTTATTTAATGTGTATTAATTGAAAATGGAGCATTATTTGTTATATCTTTTTTGTATGAATATTATTTTATTAAAAAATGTTCGTTAATTTTATCAATTATTAAATGATTTCATCAGTTATTTTTTTTTTTTATTCAAAAACTTATGGTAAAAGATATTGGTTAAAATTCACGAATTAGTTTATTTGAATTTTAAATTGAAAACATAGAAAGAGAGAAAAATATTTACAATTTAATAAATGCATATTGCTATTACATGCTTATCATTTATTGATAAAAATACCATTTACAATCGTTAATGATTATAATTTCTGATCAACTATTGATAACAATATGATAATTTAACAGATACTAAATAATAATTAAAAGTATTATTTGACAATTGTTTGTGATTTACAAACCCTATTTAGCATATTTAATTAATCATCACTATCACATTCAGTTGTTGTAATTAAATGATCAAAAAAAAATTGATTATTATCATGCTAATATAAAATCATACAAGCTATAATTGTTATGATAAATTTCAAATCAATAATTATTTTAAATAATTAATTTTCTTTTTTAGTGCAACAATTGCATCAGAGCTTAATTCGGCAAGTTATGGTTTTATTTTTGGATTTAATACCTTTGTGGCACTTTTATTGGAGACAATAATTACATTTGCATTTGCTGATAAGTATGGCTTTGCATTACCTATACGAGAACAGGTTAAACATACTTCTCCTCTTCATTTTATCTTACCTGTTAATTTTTTTCTTTTTTTTTTTTATACTATTAATAGTATTGAAAATAATTCAAATTAAGCTATGTAAGTTATTTAATGTTTCATTTAATGAAATATTTTGAGTTAGTTTTTTAAGTTTGAATTAAAATAAAAAAATTACTGGATAAATTAAAAAATAATTAATAGTAGGATAAATTAACAAGTGATAATTGACATAATCAAAGTGAATGATTTTATCAATTAATTTATCATGATGAAAAAGTTTGTAAAAATTAGATTAACTTTGGGTTAAAATTGAATAAATGTAAACTTATTTGGAACAAGTGAATGTTGCATTATTTCCGGAACCGGAAATATACCGTTAATGAATGAATGAAAAATACGAAGCAGTTTTGATTTTTTATGATATTAAAATAAATAATAACTGAAAAATTAAACCTTATATAATAATTCATTATATGCTTATTAATAATGCAAAAATTTTTTATTAAACAATCCTTAATTAATCAGTTGTCACCTAATTGTCATTATTTATACCACTTCAAAGTTCTAACAAACTTCACATAATTAGCTAATCATTTAATTACTTATTATTACAACACAATTCATTAAGTTAATAAATTTTTTTTTTTTGGACCACTTAACCTTATTTCTTCCCTTTTTATCATTTAATTAATTAACAATCATTTCCATTATCTAATTTTGCAATCATTTATACCCATTACTTCAATTACTTCAATCACTTATTAAATTATTGCTGCCAATTTGTTTGACATTTGATAAGCTATGTAAATTTTATCAAAATATATGCCATCATGAATCATTCATTTATTATTTTCAGTTTCTCGTATATAGTGGTTATTTTGGTATTATTTCATTAATATTTGTCATTTTAATTTGTTGGAAATATATTAGACGACAGTATCGTAATCAATATGATAATATTATCGATAATAAGATAACATCATATGATAAAAGTAGTCTATCATTGAATAGTATTATAATATGATTATGGAATTATTTCATTATTTTCAATATTTTTTCTTATTTTTACAATATTTTATTGCACAAATATCTTTATCATTGTTTGCTAATTTTCATTATTATTGCTGTGCCTTTTTTTTTCTTTTAATTTAATTAAATTTTTACTATAATTACGTTATTTTTTAATTTTTAGTTTAATTTTTCTTTTGATTTTAATTTTTTAATTTTCCTTCAATTTTTTATTTTGATTTTTTTATTATAATTTTTCTTTTGATTCTAATTTTTTAATTTTTTTCAATTTCTTATTCTGATTTTTTCATTATTATTTTTTTTTGATTCTAATTTTTTAATTTCCTTTCAATTTTCATTTGATTTTTATTACAATTTTTTTCATTCTAATTTTTTAATTTTCCTTCAATTTTTGCTCTAATTTCTTTACTTTAATTTTTCTTTTAGTTTTAATTTTTCAATTTTCTTTAATTTTTACTTTAATTACGCATTAATTTAAAGTTTTTAATTACTCGAAATTTGCAATATCGATTGCAATATCATTGTAAGTATAACAATATGTCATAATATAGTATTGTTACTTGTTATGATAGCACATATGAAGTAATGATAATATATTATCATTACATTAGTTTAATATTGTATAGTGAAAAAATAATAGTAATAGTAATAATTTAATTAAATTTGTAATTTTAATCAAAAAGTTTAAAAATTTTTTTAATTACGCAGTATAATGAAATATATTTTAAATTACATTAATGTAAAATTAATTTTTTTTTTTTTGTACAAATGTATAATTAATATAAATTGTATATATATATATATATATATATATATATATATATATATATATAT